AGTAGGGAAAACATTAGGAAGTGAAAATTTCCCTATGGTACACTTTAGGATAGAATGTTAAACGCGTGATGTTTTAAAGATTTTGTTATCGTTTTTCTTTCTGCTGTTTTGTTTGAGAATCTGCTTTATGACTCTTAATACAATGTTTTATGTATTACTAATAACTTTGTTGAGCTACGATATACAAGTACTAGCATAACTCAACTTATAAAGTACATACCTGTGAACCATAATCAGAGAGTAGAGAACCAAAGCCCCCCGATTGCACTGCAGGAACATGTTACTTCACGCCCATAGTGAAACAAAATAGCGCTTTCCTAGTTAAATTTAGCAAAGTAGAATAATCGGAATATTTTTCGTATGCATGATGATGACTTTTCTTCTTTTTCCTTGAATATGAATAAGGTTCTATTCTTTCTGACTTGACTTCTTATCGTAGATGAGATCTGTTATTGATGCAATGGACCCCCTTGATTGCGTTTTCGGCTATCCAGCAATGGAGGAGATTCACCCCCCTAACCCTTCAACCACGTCTCCCCGAACGCATACTCGTAACCACAAAAGAGCTCACCGCAGGCGTCGAATGCGCCATCAGGATGTTTTATTGAATTCTCATCATGCATAACTTGGAGTTTTATTTAAATGAACCTCTTGGAGGATATCATAGAGGAAAGTTAGAGGAAGTGAAAATGTGGAGTTGTGAAGGCCGTGTTTGGAATTAATCCCTTTTTTATTTTTTACGTTTTTCGAGAAAGAAAAAATAAAAACGTTTTTAAAACGGCGTTTGGCGCAATAAAGACAAAAAACGGAAATGAAAACGATTTTTTGGTTTAGTATAAAATAATAGAGAAATGAAAAACGACGGGTGCGTTTGGAATTGGTTCCAAAACGTTTTTGTTTTTTGTATGAAAATGAAAACAAAAACGTTTTTATTTTCATTTTGGAATCATTTCTGAAAATGTGTTTGGTAGTTTTATTCTGAGATTGTTTTTAGTTTAAAAAAAATTGAAATTGTGTTTGGTGGTTTAATTTTTAAAAACATGTAATAATATTTAAATTAATAATATATTAAATAAATAATAATATTAAATATATTAAATAATAATATATTAAATCAATATTATTATTAAATATATTAAATAAACATGAATTTTTACATGAGAATTGCAGAGGAAGAAAGTAGATGGCTGGAGACTGCAAATGATGGGAATCCTATCGATAAAGAAGAGGCATATATTTAGTCGTTTTTTATTTTTTGTTTTTACTTTCTCCTCTCTCGAGCAGAAAGAGAAAGAGAGAAACATTAATGGATTTTTTTACAATGAAAATAATCTCTTGTTAAAATTATTAAACGCATTTTAAAAATAATTTCTGTAATGTTTTCATTTTCATTTTTATTTTTATACAAAAAATAAAATTATTTTAAAATGAGTTCTAAACGCGTCCTAAGGTTTCCAAGTTTGAGAAGCTTTGCAGAAGAAATATTTGTATTGGGGTTTTTACAAGATCATGTACATACGTTGTTTATGCTGTTTCAAAGTAGTTTTATGCGTTAGTGCTGATATAAATTCAAGCTTTACAGGGACACTCCTGGCACTCTTACTGTCAAGCTCCTCTAATTAGAAGAGAAACTAGTTTATTATGATGCAATTGTATCGGAACTTTTTGTACAAGGCCTTAATGGCAACAGTAATGACGATGATCATGATGATAGCATACATGAAAAAGATAAGGAAATGTCAAAAGTCACTACGAGAGTCGTATGGATTTATCGTTAGGCTATACTATTTTTGTGTGGTATTAAAAGCATAGTTTGGTCTTAACACGTGTTTACTACTTTCTTTTTTTTTTTTTTGGGTATCGCTAATATTGATATGTCAAGTGGGCAAAAGTGATTCCAGTCATTTGATGGTTTGTGAAAATTTTCCAACGTGTGGCATGGTTTGAGAGGGAAGTAAAATAGACATCAAGGATTAAGATAGAACCTGAAACTTCCTCGTCTTTTTCTTCACTGATCTGATATGTCCCTTCTTTTTTTTTTTTTTTTGTCTTGTTTTGGCCTTTACGGTCCCGGAATCAGAAAAGCATCTTTATCCGTCTAAATAAATATAGAAAGGAAGCAGAAATTCTCTCTGAATTTCTGCAAAGGGTCGATGTAGTTTCTGGATTGTGTCCCATCTTTTTAATTTTCTTATTAACCAAATAAATTCAACAAACGCTACCAACAACAAAAAACTATATAAGGTTTTTTTTTTTTTTTTTTTTGTGGTAAAGGGGTTTGTTTTGGCTAAACTGATCTATTTAGATTAGTTTCTTTGTAATTTCTGAGCCTCTATTTTTTGTCGTCTATTTGCATAATTAAAGTTCCGGGCTCACAAAAAGACCAAAGCCTTAGCATCGGTCATTCGGTGGATGATAAGATTATATGTTTTTCACGAACAGAATTCGGGTTTAAATTAGGCCGTGGTCAAGATATTTAGATAATTGACCACTTCACGAAGAATTTTATACCACACTATAGTGCACTCTCTTTATAATTATACCCTCTATCTTTATAACCTATTTAATCTTATGAAAATAAAAAATAAAAAAAAACTTAATCAAACTTAGGTGTCTTAAGAGTTGAACTAAACAGCACAAAGCACGCAATTGACTCTGTTCACATACATATGAGCGTGCTTTCTGGTTTTGGAATGCTTTTTTTGCATCTAATCGTTACTTAAATCGACCCTTAAAAAGCAACTTTAGATTAAAAAGAAAAAAAAAAAAAAAAAACACCAAAAAGCTTCCAAATACATACAAGATCAATAACAATTAACACAGATTCTTGGATTGCTACGTCGGTGTATTTTTTTATAGTGTGCCTCTAAAGCGACGTTTTACATACATCCAAACCAAGCTAGTGATGTCCTATTTACCTATAATTAAGGTCTTGATATGGACCATTTTGTAAGCTTTCTCTTCCATCTCTCTCTTATTATTATTAAGTTTTTTTTATTTTTTTTTTTAATTTTATTATTTTTGCGGTGAGTGTTAGGTTAAGGTACTTACGCAAAATTACCATGCAATTGCAAAGATTTTATATGTAAAAGCAGAAAAAGTACCACGTGGCTTTGGACCCTACCACACGCGTCAAGACCACATACTGAAAATGAAACAAACTCTTGCCAAATTCAGGCTTTATACGTTAAATATAGGAAGATTTGTTATAGCCTATAATCTAACGATAAGTCATCTTTTCCTAGAAGGATCAAGGAACCTTCATTTCTTGTCTTTGCTTGGTGGGAAAATAAATTGTCTTTCCTTGTCTTAATTTTCTGTATTTACAAATATATATATATTTATATAATATAAAAATTGGAGTGAATAGGCATGTGTATTGATTAGTACCTGAAATGTTGTTACATTTTACCATCAATGTAGGCAAGTTTGATATGTTGTTGTTCTTGATAGAAATGTGTTTATGAATCGAACCTCTTTAAAATGCATCGGATTGTTCATGTTGACAAACAAATGACAATCTAGTGGTGATCATTGTTAGTTTATCAATCCATTCTAAAAGCTTAAGCTGTTAGGAGGTGGGCCAATAATAGTTTTATACTTTAACACTTCCCCTCACGTGTGGGCTAGACAATGGACAATCGTGTGGGTAAATTAATTGAAAAGCCCAATACGTGAATATTTAAGCCCGAGATAAATTAAAGATCCAACACATGACAATTTTTAAATGGAGATAAATAGTACAATTATAAGGATTTGAACTCAGAACATCCCGCTCTGATACCATGTTAGTTTACCAATACATCCCAAAAGCTTAAGCTATTAGGAAGTGAGCCAATAATAGTTTTATACTTTAACAATCATGACTTGAAAAAAATAATTAAAAAAAAACTAAATTTAGAGACACTTTTTTTTTTTTTCCTTTTCATGTATGTCACAGAAAAAAGTATAAATTTAGGACACGTGAATTAAAATATAGCGCAGCAAAAATGCCTTGATTTTTGAACGAAGGGTTGTTCTTTCTTCTCACGAATTTTAAAAGTTTTGAAATGTATGGAATCTATTCTTTTTAATTTGTTTCCTTTTTAAGTTAACATAAACCAAAACAAGGAAACTAATGATTTTGGATTTTATTAGCTAATTTGGCTTTCTTGAGTCTCAAAGGAGAATGAGAATATTGTAACATTATGAACTACTTTTTTTCCGCCGCATAGTGGATATTGCACGTAAGCTTCCCCTACCGCGTACTAGGGACTAGCCTACTAGGTAGAATTTTAACCTTGTGAACCTAGCAAAGAATAAGAGAAATAATTTTTTTATCACTTTCTATATTTATAGTTTAATATTGTGAATTTTATTAATATAATATATTATTATTTAAACAAAAAAAATATGATAATAGATCAAATGTGAATGCAGAGAGTGACAAAATAAATAACAAAAAGAATAATGTTAGCATTTCTTTAAAGAACAATGTTATATATAGGGAGAATTGACACCGGAAAATATCCTATCTCCAAGACACTGTTTTTAAAAGTTCTTTTATTATAAGGACTTTATCTGGCATTCTCTCTTTTTTATAAACAATGATATTCATTGTTTATCAACTGTCGGATATATATTAAATCTGATTAAAAGTCAAATCAGATTAAAAAAATAATACATATCAGACGACTGATAAGTAAGAAACACGAATATTTTTAAAAAAGAGGGAACACTAAAAAAATTCTCTTTATTATATTCAATTAAACCGTCATATTTTATTATTACATTTTTTTACCTGATTTTAAATGCACATATCAACTTCGAAATTCGTTGATTGCTACATATAATCTCCCACAACCATGTCCCTTTTTTTCTTTCTTGTTGAAACCTAATAAAAGAAATTGGAAAATTGGCACGAATTGTCCCCAAACTTGTCAAAAGGTGACAGTTTAGTCCTCAAATTTTGTTTTAACGAAACGAGCACCAAACTATTTAAAAGGGTGTAATGTCGTCATTTCCGTTAAATGCCGTCTAAAAGTAAGGACCAAATCCTCACCTATTAAAGTCAATTGGAACTAAAAAATCACATCATAAAAAAGTAAGGGACTATAATATCACTATTTTATGTTATTATGCCGTTATTTTTTAGACGGCATCTGACGGAAATGACTATATTGCACAATTTTAAATAGTTTGAGGTTTCTTTTTTGTCAAAAAAAAAAGTTTAGAAACTAAATTGCCACCTCTTCAAGAGTTTAGAGACCATTCCTGTAATTTACCGAAAGAAATTAACAAACAAGCACACAGCCCTCCTTAACTTAAACAGAGGATGCAAAAATGTGGGGGAGCTATTGAAAAGAAAAGAAGGCAACATGTTAAGAGAAGTCCCCACATAGTAATAATACTAATAGAACATCAAAAGAACTCGAGATGACAACTTGATTTGTCACTCACGTGTCCCATAGAAGAATGATGAGGAGAGGAAGAGAATCGTTTCAATTTTATCGGATGTTCATCAAGAAACGGGTTTTTGATTCTTATGCTTCTTTAACTATTCCTACTTATGCTTTAATTAGCCGATGAAATACTAATTAAACACTGAATAATGAGCACAATAATGACCATAATAACAACAATCACATTATTGTTGGGAGTGCTTATAATTAAAGCTTGAGTTTTCATACTTCGTACTATATCCCTGGACTCAATAAAGCCCACATACACATTCATGTGCCATCATTTATTGATATTTCTGCCATTTGCCCCCAGTACTCATAAAACCGCCCTGCTGCATATGCTCCTTCCACAACTCCAATGCATATGGAGACAACAAAATCCAACCCCACATTTTTTTTTCTTTAATTTTTATTGTTCCTTCTAGATTTATGTAGTAGAATATCTTTATAAAATATATATATATATATATATATATATATATATAATTATGATCATCCTTGCCTCTTCAAAGTGTCATTTTCAATTTGTCTTCTAAACTTTAAAAACTCTCATTTTGTCTCTTAAATTTTGGATGTCCCATTTAAGCTCTTTTGTAAAAATTTCAATTAAAATCAGATTGAAAAGAAGATTTACCTGTGATCATATGATTTTTATCTGTTTGTTTTAACAGATATTCAAACATAAATAGCATATAGCTGCATTACTCACTTTTTTCTATCTGTTTTTAATAGAAATTCTAATATAAGAAGTAAAGTGAGAACAATTCAAAATTAAAAGAGTAAAGTGAGAGTTTTTAAAATTTGAGTGATAAAATAATGATGACTATAAAATTTAAGTGGCACCGGTAATAACAATCTAAAAATTTAACGGTAAATAATATTTTCATAGCATACAAATAAGATATTGTAGAAGTACTTTCTATAATGAGCATATTTGGCACTCTATTTCTTTATCATACAAATGATAATTAGAACATGTCACGTCACATGCAGTAATATTTTCTTTCAAGTTATAACATCAATAAAAAATATTTCAAAATATTTGAGTAACTTTTAAAGAGTAAAATTTAAAATAAATAAATAATTTTCCAATTCAATCAAAGTTATGAAAAAAAGACAAACTTTATAATAATGTTATTCACAACAAATCTAGGAGAGAGAAATATCAATGGTTTAAAACTCTCCTTTTTGGTCTATAAACATAAATACAAACTCATTAATGAGTTGGTGCACTAATAAGAATGTGTTTATCTCTTCTCTTCTCATGATATGTCTAGAATTTAATCATTCACAACCTTACGTTACGATCTCTGCTTCATATTCTCGTTAAGTGTGTGGTGACATGAACGAACTGGATATAGAATTGAATCAGAGCATTTCTGTTCTATCGGGAGAGCTCAATATGTTGTCTAGCGCTAGTTGTGTGATGACATGAACAAAACTGGACTCATTCTTTAAATAGAATTGGATTAGAGTATTTCTGTTCTATTGATAGAGCTCGAGATTTTAAAGTTACCGAAAGAATTGGGGGGGAATGACACCATTAGCCCCAATTTATTTAGCAGGAAAAGGGGAAAAAAATGCAATGGCATGTGTGGTAGTTTTCCCCGAACAAAAGGGGCAAAGTCAGACCCCAACTCTCTTTTCTGTGCAGTGATTCTCGCACTTTTGCCATTCTCTCCATGACTCAACCCATATCCCAGAAAAAGGAGAAAAAATATATAAATCATTTCCAAAAGCCTTTGCCTTTGTGTCGAAGTTGTTCCCATTCTAACAATTCCTCTTCTTCCCATCAAAGATAAAAAATTCCCTCTTTCTGGGTCTCTCAAATCTCCCACACACATACCCAAAATTTTGCTTCTTCTTTCCTATCAAACCAAACAGAATAGTATCTCCCAAAAGAAAAAGAAAAGAAAAGAAACCCACAAAATCTTTCTTTTGTTAATTATTTTATGATTCCTGCTTTTATCAAGATTTCGATTCTTATCAAGAATTGGACTCCACTCTTTCTCTCTCTACTTCTTCTTCTGTTATCAGCAACAACAACAGCCATGAAGGTTCATCCAATGCCCAAGAAGCGAAACATCACGATCCAATACGACATGAGCTCCTCCTCGAGAAACCCACAAGATTCCTTTCTGGGTCTGGCCCACAAGAAGCTCCGCCGCCTCCCCCACATCTTCAGCCGCGTTCTGGAGCTGCCGTTTCGCTCCGACGCCGACGTTTCGGTCGAGGAGAGCGCCGATTTCTTCCGATTCGTCGCCGAGACAGACGGCGTCGGCGGAGAGGTGAGGGCCCACACCGTCGAAATCCACCCGGGGGTGACCAAGATCGTCGTCAGGGAGAGTGGGTCCCACTGCGAATTGACCCTCGACGAGCTCGAGCTCGACGTCTGGAGGTTCCGCCTGCCGGAGACCACGAGGCCGGAGCTCGCCAGCGCGGTCCTCGTCGACGGCGAGCTGATCGTGACGGTGCCCAAAGGCGGCGACGGCGATGGTGGCTCCGGAGACGCCGGAGAGGTTTGGGGCGATGGCAAGAATGGGGGTTTCGGAGGAGGTAATGTGGGAGGTAGGCTTGTGCTTGTACAGTAATATTTTCAAAATTTTAGCTCTTGTTGTTCTAAGGTTTGAACTTAGATGATGATGATGATGGTATGGAAATTGTGAAACTAGTCGTTGTATGCCTCTTTTTGTTCAATGAATGAATCAATCAAGAATTATCTTTTTTTTGCCCTTAATTGTAAATATATTGATTACTGGATTATTATTAACTTATCGGTGTTAGTTTGACCTGTGTTTGTGCTAATTGCATTTGGGTTATCAGAGTTTTAGCTAGATTTTTTTATTTTTTATTTTTTAATTATAGTAGGATGGCTTGAAGTTTACAGTATTTCCATTACCCATTTGGGTTCTGGATAAAGCATTTCGTTTTAACTAATTGCATGCTCATTTTGTAATGCAAGTGTGAAACAAGGCACAGAAAACAAACTTTTCTTCTCTGTAATATCTGGTTTTGATAATATTGGATGGTCTTATCTTTGAGATTTTTGTCATGGAAAATGTGTGTATGTATAGATCATATGGTTGGCCTGGCAAGTTAATGCTTCAAATGCAATCTTGTCAAATGCTTCAACGTGTAATTATATGCCCTTTTTCTTTCATTTTCTCAATTATTGATTTTAGCATCTCACGTTATTGTCTAAATTCATAGGCTCAAGTCCTTTTGCCCTTCTGCATATGAGTGTTTTTTTTTTTTTTTCCTTTCCTTTTACCTAATCTTGATGATTCTGATATTTGGTTGACCGCATTTTCTGATTATAACCCTTTGACATAACTTACTTGTGGTGAAACTAAACCGTGTATTAATATTCAAACATCAAGAACTTGTTCTCTTTTTTCCTCTTCATTGTTTGAATATATTCTTCTGACCCAACTAGTGGGTCTATATATATAAATATACATAAATATATATATATATATATATGTACGGTCCACTTGGTGCTATTTAGGTCTTCTTGTCTTTTCGTGGATCGTATGCGATTGTCTCACATTGGGTAATATTAATTTAAAGTCTTCCTTTTTCACTTTTAGCAATGGTATTTCAGGTCCTAGTTAACATATTATATGTATAGCCAAGAAACGGCCTTTTTAGCCCTTTTATTTACATTTGCTTTGACAATTCTTTACTGATAAGAGCTCTCTTGTTCTTTTATGATCAATGAGTAGTCGATGATCATGATGGTGGGTCTCATGAGTTGTGAATATCCACAGTTTTTTTTTTCCTTTTTCTTTTTTGAAGATAATCTTATGCATCTCTCCAGTTTTGTAATAGAAAACTAGTAACTGTACTATAAACTACTGCTCTTCTGGCCCCCCTTTTCTTTGTCAATGCTTCACAAAATATTCATTCTCATCCATTCATTTTTGGATTTCAGATCTGATGATAAGGAAATCATCACAAACTTTTGGGATGTTGTGGTTGGATTTTTGCCTGCTCTGAAGTTTTTGGTTCCTATAGATGTTTACCTTGAAATATGCCATTATTGAAAGTTTTGGAGAGTGTTTACAATGGGTCTGTTTTTAAGAGGTTTTATTGCATTTCTAAGCAGGCCATTTTCCTCTTTTCTCGAATAATGAATAGGGACTTTCTCTGGTAGGGCCTTTGTATTGGTAGGGTTAGTTTTTAATCGTTGGATCTGATCAAAATCACATTAGATTGAAAATGTATGCAGAACATACAGTTTCTGATATAAATTTGACGGCTGAAAAAAAAAAAAACTAAGTAGTTCATTTTTTTTGTCCGACCAGAGATCTTCCTTATTAAATATAGAGCTCATTTATTTATTTATTTATCTAGTTTTGTTATGAATATATGGAACTTAACTGGCCAGCTGCTAAAATATTATATCATTCAGCACTCAATTCTTTTTTCACCTCATATTTTGAAGTCCTAGTCAAGGGATGTGTTGTGCGCTTATCGTCTTCTTTCATTGCTTTTTTCTTTTCCAGTTTCACTTTCACTTTCGGTTTCTGCATCTTCAAAAGTTATATTCTAATGTGGTCCTTGAGGTTGTAACGTGAATTATTTTGATTAATATATAATTTCTCTTGGGCTTGCATTATCTTCTCTTGATTATCATAATCATATTTCACTCTCTAGTTTAATTTTTGTCGACTAAATCTCTTGCTCCTTTTCTTTTCTTTCTTTTATTCCGAAGATGACTGTTTTAAATGTTTAATGGCAACACTAACTTGCGGATGAAGAGTGGATTTGAGAAGAATTGAAAACAATAGAAAATTTGAGGATCAAACTGAAACTTTTAACGAAAACTATATTTATAGTAATCGTGTTTATCTCTAGCAAAGGAAGGTAAAATGGAAAAGGTGTGGAGGCATTTTGAGTCAGTTAACATCATGGCATCGTCAACTGGTGTCATGTCAACGCAAGTGGGGAAGAATTTGTTTGTATGATTTGGGGTTTCACTTTTAGATTTGTATGACTGGGATTGCATAAAAGTTATTCCCAGTGCCATCTAACGAGTCTCCTTTCTTTTCGTTTTCTTTCTTCTCTTTTTCCCTTTGTTTTTTCATGTGGAATTTGTACGGCCATGGGCCACTTTTACTTGGTAGGAGTTAGGACTTTGAATAGACATCCAACGATGGAGAATTTGGCTCCCCAGGCTTATACACGCGTTTGTGCACAATATATATATATATATATATATATATATATTGTCTACTGTCTCTCACTCTGATGTAATAACGTAATATTGTAGTTGTTTAATGTAACGTGAACATGAAGAAAAACGTAACACTAAGAACTTTAACTAGCTCACACTATTATTATACTTTAATTTGATTATTTACTATAATAAGAATGTTAGAAAGGTGTAATAATAGTCGGAAATAATTACATATCTTGATATCTCACATAGATATCATTTAATATTGATGTTATGTTGAATAAATACCATCTTATGTTTTACACTTTTGTATGTATATTATGCTGGAGGGATGGTCCTCGAGGGACTGAAAAAAAGCAAAACGATATATATATATATATATATATATATATGCTTGGTAAAGAAACGGGAAACTTTCAGGAATCGAATATTGTGGAGTGATGATTCGATGGTGCAATTCCATGCAAGTGGGTTAGTTCCAAAAACAAGGATCAACATAGAAGCTTTGATGGTCACTAATTTCACGAGAAAAATGAGGCTCGTAATAATGGAATCTAAAGGAGAAAAATACAGGCCTCCAGAAAAAATATCACCAAAAGAAGGATCAACACACAAAGCTTCATGGTCGTTAATTTCACGAGAAAGCTTCAAGCTGAATTCACTCTTGATTGGCACGGTTCGCAACGAATTGGAAGCGACACACAAGATATCATCCATCTCTTTTAAAGAGTAAAATGTTCGCCTGATTTCTTTCACTCATAAACCATAACAACTACCACAAACTGTTTCAATATATAGCACAAAGACAAAATTGACGAGCCAAGCTCAACAGATACAAAACCCTTTAACTAGGTAAACTCCACACTTGAAGAAAAGGTTTGAATTTTCCCTCGCATTTTGCAAGTATTTTACTCAACCCAACTTACCAAAAGCATGGTCAGTCTCACAATTTAAATCAAAACTCAAACTTTTTTGCTACAGTATTTACTCTCATAAAAATTCAAATTTAACTTTTTTACTATAATATTTTTTCACATAAATTCACTTTTCAACGTAAGTTCACAAATTGAACCCGCGAAACGGACAGACCCTAAAGCTCTCAAATTGTGATAACCTAGTTCTGATACCTTACACACTCTGCTCAACAGAGGAAAACATAAAATGCAAAAGGTTCATCTGACTTTCACCTAGTTTTGCCTGACGCATCCTGTACATTACCTAGTTTTTGACACTTGAGAGGTTAAACAATCTTGAGCAGCCAAATGTTGAAAGTTACATGGTTGATTTGGTTAAAACTTTGAAGATACTTCGAGGCAAAAATTTTAATGCACTGATGGATCCAAACTTCATAATTGCAAAAGTATATTAGAATTCACTTCACTCCTCAACTTCTAAATCAAACACCCCTGGCGGTCTAGGAAACCATTTTCATATCGTTGAGTTTTTCGAGTTCTCGTTTTAACAGACCCACCATGTTTAAGAAAAACACTTAATAAATCATCTTAATTACTTGATGTTAAGTGACATATTGTCAATTCACATATCTCAATATCAAGTTGCTGATACAGGTTAGAAAGATAGTCCTTCTGGCAATTGAGTCTCTCCACGCCAATTTGTTTTTCAATTTTTTGGACTTTCTCAGTTTTGTTGGGGAGGCACCATATGCGAAATTGGCCCAACACACTTTAGGAGTCTAACTTGACTCAAAAGGTTAATTTATTAGGTCTTGGGTCCTTTCATGTATATAAATCACTTTACATTCTCATCCACTTTCTAAGTGGGACAACACACACATACACTTTTCTCAACAATCTCTCCCTCATATGCGTGTTCAACGAGCTCCCCCTCAAACTAAAATTTATAGTAGTCGGCATATCCAAGCATCACACTTCAATAGGAGTCAACTCGAGCATAGGAAAAAAGGCAAAACCATGTGAGTCTAACAAATGCTCCATCATCCGCACCTGCTACAACAACAATTGCAGGATCACCAACTCCATGGGAGGCAACGTGAGAACTGCAACCGAGTGTGATCGCTTGACCATGCGAACCATTGGCTCTGATACCGCTTGTTTGGGAGACACCACATGCGAAATTGGCCCAACATACTTTAGGAGCCCAACTTGACCCAAAAGGTTAACCTATTAGGTCTTTGGTCCTTCTATGTATATAAACTACTTTACATTCTCATCCACTTTCCATGTGGGACAACACACACATGCACTTTTCTCAACAAGTTCCTAAACAATCTGATTAATCTCTTTTTTTCCAGCTTGAGAGACTTAGTTTACCAATCAAAAGATTCAGGCGTATTTGGTGGGTCTGTTCTGCTCTGTTTACTAATCAAAAGATTAAGGCGCATTTGGTGAGTCTGTTTTGTTAGAATATCTATTTTCTAGGTGTTTAACAACTTCCATTGTAGCCTTTTCATGGCCACTGGTGTCTAAAGACAATCACAAAGTCCATTACTTAGAGAGTCTTTATAAAAATAATGTTGAGAAACTGCAATCCAACAATATATATGGGGTAGCCCTATGTCCATGATCTTAGGTTGAAAGAAAGGCCATTGGAGAGCTAGAGATGTAGTAGGGGTGTTTATCGAATCTAAAGATGCAAGAACGGGTTGACCCGTTCTCTTTAAGCCCACACAGACCGTGAGCCAGGCCGGACCAGCCCACGAAATTTGTGAGCCAAGTCGGGCCGGCCGTATAAGAATTATCTCAACTCAGCCCACACCACAAGTTAATTTTACATGGCCATGCTGGGTTGTGTCGTGGGCCAGGATGGGCCGTTCCATGGGCCTTGAATGGGCTGGCCCATTCAAGGCCTATCTCAGCCTATCATGGGTTTAGATGGGCCGCCTATCTAAGCATGCAATTTTTAATTTTTATTTTTTAAACAAGTTAACAAATATAAAAGTTTGAATAGTCAATGGAAATATGAAAAATGGATATTTTATTTACGATTGCCTCATTAAAAACCTTTCCAAGAAAAATTAAGTGGAACAAAACCTTGGTGAGGAAAAAAGAAAACAATTAGGATAATCATACATAAGATGTTTACAAAATTACTAAAAAAAAAACATAAAAAAAATAAATATTGTTCATAATTACAACGTATTACTCCTAGTGGGAGTATGAGAAATGTCAAAATTTTCAAAGTCATCAAACCCATTATGGGCCTAGACGGGCCGGCCTAGCCCGACCCAAGACCTACCTGGCCCATGATTTTTCATGGGCCGTGCCGGGCTGGCCCATGGGCTGATATATGTTGGTCCAACCTAACCCAACCTACTAATATTTATAGGTTGGGTCATGCCTTGAACAGTGACGGGTCGTGCTGGTTCGGCCCTTCACTGTGTCAAGATGGGTCTGGGCCGGCCCACGGGCCCCGATCCATTATTGCATCTCTAACCAAACCGGTGAATCCGATTAATCAAGGGATAAAATTGAAACTAATTTTTTAAATATGATACCTTTATTGTTTCCAAAACAATAGTCCATGACTAATGAACTAGTAAATTATTGATTATAATTTAAATAATTACTAAGTGATAGACTACTAATCAGTGATATATCACCAAACAACCAAAACTGATTAATTGTTTCCAAAAAAAAACATCATTTTTTAATTTAACAAAACTTAAATATTTGCATAAGGAACTTTCTATAGACATAGTGTACCAGTAGTGTCAATTTTAACCGTTAGAATATAACAAAATTATATCATATTAAAAAATGTATATAAAATAGACAGCTGAAAAATAAAAAGATACCACTAGTTTATTTTTATTAATCCTACGATTGAAGCTCCATTTACATAAAATAGGTTTTTTTTTTTTAAGTATAGCCATTTTATTTTAAACCCCCCAAAACATTCACATATCCCTTGAAGGAAAAAAGCAACAAATTTCTGTTCTGATCAGTATATTTAATACTTCTGTTCATGGGCAAAAATAAATAAATGAATAAAATAAAATAAAATAAAACGTTTCGTTGTTATCGTCGTTTTCAGATCTATTCGTCGTTTTTATGAATTACTTCTCTTTACTCTTTTTTTTTCTGAGAAAGAACTCTTGGGAGCAAATAAAACAACTCGTAAATACTAAAACCCAAACCCTCGAAACTGAATCAGAGAGAGAGATAGAGAGACAGAGAGAGAGAATGTTGAAGTTCTTGTCGAGAGTGAACATCGAGTTCAACACGTTGGATCCACGTACAGCGTCGTGCATGGAGTTCTTGGCACAGTGCAACACTCGCAAGGCGAAGGAGTCGAACCCGGCCAGTCAGGTCCTCGTCAAGCGCCGGACCGACGACGAGCCGCCCAAGATCGCCGTCACCTTCGTCAACGGAGTCGAGGAAGTCTTCGACGCCACGTCCACGCCTGCCCAGAGCATAAGGACCATGATTCTCCAAAAGGGTCAGTCCCTCGAGACCGAGCAGATGTTCCGCGAGGCCGGTGAGCCCTGGCCCGTCCTCATTCCCGAGGAGGAGCTCCACCAACTTCTAAATCAAACACACCTAGCGGTCTAGGAAACCATTTTCATATCGTTGAGTTTTTCGAGTTCTCGTTTTAACAGACCCACCACGTTTAAGAAAAACACTCAACAAAACATCTTAATTACTTGATGTTAAGTGACATATTGTCAATTCACATATCTCAATATCAAGTTGCTGATACAGGCTAGAAAGATAGTCCTTCTGGCAATTGAGTCTCTCCACGCCAATTTGTTTTTCAATTTCTTGGACTTTCTCAGTTTTGTTGGGGAGGCACCATATGCGAAATTGGCCCAACACACTTCAGGAGTCTAACTTGACTCAAAAGGTTAATTGATTAGGTCTTGGGTCTTTTCATGTATATAAACCACTTTACATTCTCATCCACTTTCTATGTGAGACAACACACACATGCACTTTTCTCAACAATCTCTCCCTCATGTGCGTGTTCAACGAGCTCCCCCTCAAACTAAAGTTTCTAGTAGTCGGCATATCCAAGCTGATACACTTCAAATAAGAGTCAACTCGAGCATAGGACAAGGGGCAAAACCATGCGAGTCCAACAAATGCTCCATCATCCGCACCTGCTACAACAACAATTGCAGGATCACCAACTCCATGGGAGGCAACGTGAGAACTGCAACCGAGTGTGATCGCTTGACCATACGAACCATTGGCTCTTATACCGCTTGTTAGGGAGACACCACATGCAAAATTGGCCCAACATACTTTAGGAGCCCAACTTGACCCAAAAGTTTAACCTATTAGGTTTTGGGTCCTTCTATGTATATAAACTACTTCACATTCTCATCCACTTTCCATGTGGGACAACACACACATGCACTTTTTTCAACAAGTTTCTAAACAATCTGATTAATCTCTTTTTTTTCCAGCTTGAGAGACTTAGTTTACCAATCAAAAGATTCAGGCGCATTGGTGGGTCTGTTCTGTTAGAATGACTCAGTTTACCAATCAAAAGATTAAGGCACATTTGGTGAGTATGTTTTGTAAGAATATCTATGTTCTAAGTGTTTAACAACTTCCATTGTAGCCTTTTCATGGCCAATGGTGTCTAAAGACAATCACAAAGTCCATTGCTTAGAGAGTCTTCATAAAAATAATGTTGAGAAACTGCAATCCAACAATATATATGTGGTAGCCCTATGTCCATGATCTTTGGTTGAAAGAAAGGCCATTGGAGAGCTAAAGATGTAGTAGGGGTGTTTACCGAATCTAAAGATGAAAGAACGGGCTGACACGTTCTCCTTAAGCCCACGTAGACTGTGAGCCGGGCCGGCCCAACCCACGAAATTTGTGAGGCAAGTCGGACTGGCCGTATAAGAATTATCTCGACCTAGCCCACACCACAGGTCAATTTTACATGGCCATGTTGGGTTGTGTCGTGGGCTAGGATGGGCCGTTCCATGGGCCTTGAATGAGCTGGCCCATTCAAGGCCCATCTCAGCCTATCATGAGTTTAGATGGGCCGCCCATCTAAGCATGCAATTGTTAATTTTTTATTTTTTTATTTTTATTTTTGAATTTTTTAACAAGTTAACAAATATAAAAGTTTGAATAGTCAATGGAAATATGAAAAATGGATATTTTATTTACGATTGCCTCATTAAAAACCTTTCCAAGAAAAATTAAGTGGAACAAAACCTTGGTGAGGAAAAAAGAAAACAATCAAGATAATTATACATAAGATGTTTACAAAATTACTAAAAAAAGAAAAAACATAAAAAAATAAATATTGTTCATAATTACAATGTATTACTCCTAGTGGGAGTATCGGAAATGTCAAAATTTTCAAAGTCATCAAACCCATTATGGGCCTAGACAGGCCGGTCCAACCCGGCCTAAGAACGACCTGGCCCATGATTTTTCATGGGCCGTGCCGGGCCGGCCCATGGACTGATATATGCTGGTCTAACCCAGCCCAACCTACTAATATTTATGGGTTAGGTCGTGCCTTGAACAGTGACGGGCCGTGTTAGCTCAACCCTTCACTGTGTCAAGATAGGTCTGGGCCGGCCCACATGCCCCGATCCATTGTTGCATCTCTAACCGAACCAGTGAATCCGATTAATCAAGGGATAAAATTGAAACAAATTTTTTAAATATGATACCTTTATTGTTTCTAAGACAATAGTCCATGACTAATGAACTAGTAAATTATTGGTTATAATTTAAATAATTACTAAGTGATATATCACCAAACAGCCAAAACTGATTAATTGTTTCAAAAAAAAAACATCATTTTTTAATTTAACAAAACTTAAATATTTGCATAAGGAACTTTCTATAGACATAGCGTACCGGTAGCGCCAGTTTTAACTGTTAGAATATAACAAAATCATATCATATTAAAAAATATATATAAAATAGACAGCTGAAAAATAAAAAGATACCACTAGTTTATTTTTATTAATCCTACGATTGAAGCTCCATTTACACAAAATAGGCTTTTTTTTATTTATTTTTTTTTAACTATAGCCATTTTATTTTAAACCCCCCGAAACATTCACATATCCCTTGAAGGAAAAAAGCAACAAATTACTGTTCTGATAAGTATATTTAATACTTCTGTTCATGGGCAAAAATAAATAAATAAATGAATGAATAAAAATAAAAATAAAAAAATAAAAAAATAAAACTTTTCGTTGTTATCGTCGTTTTTATGAATTACTTCTCTTTACTCTCTCTTTCTTTTTTCTGAGAAAGAACTCTTGGGAGCAAATAAAACAACTCGGAAATACTAAAACCCAAACCCTCGAAACTGAATCAGAGAGAGAGATAGAGAGACAGAGAGAGAGAATGTTGAAGTTCCTGTCGAGAGTGAAGATCGAGTTCAACGCATTGGATCCACGCACAGCGTCGTGCATGGAGTTCTTGGCACAGTGCAACGCTCGCAAGGCGAAGGAGTCGAACCCGGCCAGTCAGGTCCTCGTCAAGCGCCGGACCGACGACGAGCCGCCCAAGATCGCCGTCACCTTCGTAAACGGAGTCGAGGAAGTCTTCGACGCCACGTCCACGCCTGCCCAGAGCATAACGACCATGATTCTCCAAAAGGGTCAGTCCCTCGAGACCGAGCAGATGTTCCGCGAGGCCGGCGAGCCCTGGCCCGTCCTCATTCCCGAGGAGGAGCTCCACCAGCCGGCACCGGTAACAAAGGTTAGTATTTTTCCTCTGTTTGTTTGGGATTTTGTCGTATGTTGTCGTTGGAGCATTTGCCCGAACACTTGGTGTGGGATTCGTGGTTTGTTGTTCTCCTAGAATGTTTGATGAGATTTCGATTGATTTTATCATTTTGCGTAGGAAGTTGTAATCTTTTCCCCTCGTTTTGTTTTTAATTTAAACTTGCAATCTTCGATCGAACATGGTCTGTGATACATGGTTTATTGTCATCCTAAAGATTTTATCATTTTTTTCTAAGGAAAGTTGTAATCTCTTCCCTCTTGGGCTTCTCTTTGTCTCTTTTTTTTTTTTTTTTTTTTTTTTTTTTTTTTTTTTTTTTTAAGAATTTGGATTGCTCTGCCAATTTACATTGCCTTAGTGTTGTTTAAGCACGGATATGGAGTTTTTTTTTTTACATGAATTTATGCTTATTCATAATTTGATAAGTCTTGGCCCATTTCTTGCCATTTTATGGATTTCAAATCATGATTTAGATAGAACTGCATGACATCTAAGTTCTTGTTAGAGCCGTCTGTGTGTTTTGTCTTATGGTTTATCCGGTACACATGATATTTGGAATTTTGGGGCAAAAAAGTTGAATTTGAATTTTTGTGAGAGAAAAAACTGTAGCAAAAGAACTTGAGTTGTGATTTGAGTTGTGATTTGAACATGGTAGTAGTGAGTCGAGTTTTCTGCTTCAGAATGTGTTAGTAGTGTGCGCTAGAACTGGTTGGATATGTTTGATATCCATACTCAATATTCTTTGAATTCCATGTTAATTTGTGTAGATAACAATTATGGTACTACTTTGCGCGTGATATTGACATGAAAACAATTGAAATTTTTGGCTGAAGGGCACGGCCTAAATTCGCTGTGTAGACTTCGATATTGCTTCTCATAGATTATCTTTAAAGTATCAGGAATAACTAATTCATGTTACTTTTGATTATGCTCACAATGAGTTACAATGTTAGATTCATTTCTCAGTCTGTCATTGTGACCTTTCTTTCACAGCCAAGGAAAGCAAAAGAGAAGAAGCAATAACCGTATTTTTGAGATTGTAAGGGCAGTATTTTTGAGATTACAAGGGCACAAGTCTGATGTACTTCAATGGACTTGTATCATTGTGGTGAGGTTTTCTATATGCAGGAAAATATTCGAATGGTGCTTTGTATTTTGATGCTCGTAATTTTCACTTTGAATGAAGATTTTATTTGCTTCATGATGAATCTGTTCTCTACTACAAGTTGTGGTAGCTAGAAACTTTTTTTTTTTTTTTTACCCAGTTTGATATCATGATTTTGTAGCGTGAATGACAAAAAGGAAAAACATATTACATATGTAATACTTTGTCGACATGGAAGATATATTAGTGTTTCAAAAGGGCATTCATCTTCAACATTAGTGAGTGGGCGCACTACTAAATTTCCCATTTAAGGTCGATTGGTCGGGTTGTTCAATCTGACTTGTGCTAGATTGTGTGAATTCCTCGAGTCACTAAAGGCTCGTTTGCTTCACAATATATTCATAACTGAAACTTTTTATTACAGTGTTTTCTTTCACATGAGTTCACTTTTTAATTCAAGTTCTCAACTCGAACCCGTGAAACGAGCAGACCCTGAATTTTTTCTACAACATTATTCTAAGGTATTCTCTTTATTTTATTATTTAACTTTGTTTCATTACGAATGACGTTTTTGAATAGTTGTCGTTTTTTGAGTTCATCCTATTTTAAACTTGTTTTCTTTAAATTCACGTTCTTTTTTCAGTTGATTGCTGTTTGCCGCTTGCTGTCGTTTACATTATTCTAAGATCGGTATCATTTTCCTATTTCCGCCGTTTTTAAGCTTAGTGCCGTTTTCTAATTGTTGTCGTTTGTTAGTTTCTGGTTGGTGTCGTTTTCTGGCAGCGTTGATGTCCTTTTGTATATGTATATAGTCACATGACAAAAATCAAATTGCAATGTTCCCTAAAAAATAATGAAAAAAAACTTAAATGGCATGCTTCTCAAGATGTAATAGTTAATTCGTCTGATCATGGAACGCCTAAATACATTTGGCATCATATGAGTTGCAGAAAATGGCTTGAGAAATGCATTTAAAAAGTACTACACATGATATCTACTCATGAATTAAAGGATTCTACTGTAAGGCCAAGCTCACGCACAACTTTCTATAGTTACGTTTCTGCTTCCTGAAGACTCGATATTCTGCATTCTCATACAAAATTCACGAGATTACTTTGGATATCTCTTGGTTTTATGCCCTTCACATTGTTACTTGACTTCCATGCAAATATTCTTCGTGCAAATCCATCAACTGTTCTGCCACCTGCTTAAGTTACATAAGTGATCATAACATATTTGAATAAATAATCATCACATCATATATAATGATCACACACACACACACACACATATATATACCTCTTCAACGCTGCCATCTTCGATGTCTGTGTTGAAAGAGAGAAGCATGTTCTCATGGAGCAGATTTTCTACATCTTCCACGTAAAGAGGCGCTGTGCAGAGTGTTATACATATCAAACCGCCGGTGTTAGATTTTTTTTGTGAATCCATATTTCGTAAAGCAAATGCAATGTGCTAATGATTGTTACATATCCTTAAAAACCAATATGTAATATGTATAAACCTTTGGATTGAGAGAACCAGGAGGAGATATCATCGGCAAGTTGGTGGGATTTGTTGAGGGAATCATGTCCGCCCCATTGGTTCTGCACCGCCATTTGGAGGCCGTTCCATCGTGACAAAATCGACGCAACGCTGTCTCGGAGATGAGGGCTGCCGCCGCCGTCGCTACAGACGTCAAATGCCTCTGGCTTTTGAAGGGTAGAGGCCGCCACACTAGTAGTATCAATACCACGTCGGCCGTCGTTCATGGATTCCATGCATGCAAATTCAATCCCACTTCTCTCTCTCTCCTTTCTCTCTCTCTCTCACCACGAGACAAGAACGATCGGAAAGAGAGAGCAAGGAAGAGAACCTCCGGAAAGTTTGGAGGTGGAGAGAGAGGTGAGACAGAGAAATGTGGGACTATGGCTGTGCGTGAGTTGGCCAAACGTCGAACTTGGTAAAAAGTGCTTTCTCGTTAATTCACTGTCCAAATAAAGGATTTGCCTTTACTTGGAAATTAGGCAAATTACACCCAATTTTCTTTCTTTGCTTTTTTTTGTTTTTTTTTTCCCCCCCTCCTCTCTTTGAATATTAGTGACATAATTTAACCTTATGTATTTGGCTAGGATTTGAATTCAACTAAAATACAATACAAAATCTATATGGTAGATAGAACGACGGGGAGTAGTTAGCCTCTAGAAGATGGAAAGCACAATGATTATGGATATGTGAGTGCACAAATGCCACAAATGGAGATATTTTATAACTATTTTTTTTAAGAAAATGTGTGTAATTTCTTTAATATGTTTCCTATCTGTTTTGGTAGCAAATTATACATTTACTCCTCACAAAATAACTTAAAAATTATTTGCGACAACACTTCACTATTTGCAACGACACGTGTTGTGGGAGAAAGGTTGTGGAATTCTTATTTGCGACGACATCTGTAATGTCGTCACAAATAATATTTGGGGACGTACCCACTTTCCCCGCCTTCTATTTCACTGAGGGAATACAAAATCACTTTTTGCGACGACATACATTATTATCGTCGCAAAAACATTTTGCCATCGCCAAAATAATCCTTTTTGCTCAGGGAAAAAATAAAATAAATTTTATTTTGCGACGCCAAAATAATGAGGTATCATCACAAATAATTTTAAGTTATTTTACGACGACATGGCGCCGCAAATAGTCTTTTATGTCGTCGCAAAAAAGTCTGTTATATAGCAGAGCCTCCTCCTCCATTTTTTTCGATCGGCTTCTCTCTCTCTCTCTCTCTCACTCGGCCTCTCACCGGTTTTCTCCAGTTTTCTCACCCCAAACTCTAAAAATCTCTTTGTATTCTCTTCCAAATCAACAATATTATAAGTTTTATTTGTTTTTTCATCCAAAAAATTCCAAAATCTCAAAGTCCGCCGCCACAGCCGAAATTCGCCGCCGCCGCCGCCCTGTTTATCTTGCCGTTTTTAGCCCCCGTTTCAGTGGGTTTGAATTTTGTAAGGTTTTTTTATAATTATTGTATTTTTTAATTTAAAATTTATGAGTTTTTTTGTTATTTGAATTGTATATAATTATAGATTATAAATCTTGAACTTTGATTAGTATATATTTTGAAATTTTGATTATAGATTAAATTTTAGATTATGAATTTTGAGATTGTTGAAATTTGATATTAAGATTGTTAAAATTTTAAGATTATAATTTGATTTAGGTTGAGATTAAAAGTTTTAATAATTGTTCTGGGTGGCACATCTTGCAGTTATAGTGTGCCGAAATCTTTTAAAAACTGTTTTTTGCAGGTTTGAATTTTTGGATAATAAGAAAAATATGTCGTTATAATGCCAAAATTTTATTAAAACCTATTAATTTTAAGAATAGAAAGAAAATTAAAAATTAATTATAAACATTATGAATGCAACAATAAAAAAATAACCTGTTCATAAAATTTGATAAAACTTATAAAATTGAAACATGAAATGTTAAACTTTCTTTATAAACGTGATTATATAGTCACAAGAAAACATAAAGTATGATTAGATGTGCTATTGTTTTTATAGTCAAGATGCCAATTGACAATAGTTGGATACATCTGAAAAATCGGTTGTCTGATCAGTATTGGGAAGGGTTGTCTGTGTTTATCAATATTGCCAAAGATTATGTTGATAAAAGCGGTTGTACAAGTTATCTGTGTCGGAGGTGTTTAAACCATAAGTATTTTTCAATAGAAACAGTTAGAGTACACATACACCAATATGGTTTCAATCATTTATATACAACGTGGTATTACCATGGCGAATACGATGTTGCGACCAATCTAATAAATGAATCAGTTGACGAGATGATTGCAGTTATACATGATGTTGTTAGAAATAACTCTGATCATGATATGCCAGACAAAGTAGAAGCTGAAGTGTTAGGTGATGCGTAGGACGATGAATTTAAAGAGTTGTTATCTAAGCTCGAATCGGCTTTGTATCCAGGGTGTATTAAGTATTCCTCATTGAATTTTTTGGTGAAACTCATGCATTTAAAGGTGTTGTACAAATGACCCAATGAGTGTATGAACTTTGTTTTGAAGCTGTTGAAAGATGCATTTCCTAAAGAAATTAAACTTCCAGATTCGTATTACGAGGCGACGACGAAATTGGGTAAACTCGGTTTGGGCTATAAAATAATACATATATGTAAGTATGATTGTGCATTTTTCTGGAAGGAGAATGCTGATCTACAGGTTTGTCCAGTATGTAACACTAGTCATTGGAAGAGTAAAAAAACAAAAGGTAAAAAAGTACCTCAGAAAGTATTACGATATTTTCCTTTGAAGGATCGATTAAGGCATCTGTATAGCTCGCGTCACACTGCAAAGGAAAATACGTGGCACATGCAGGGGCGTTCGAAGGATCCAGACTTAATGTGTCATCTAGTTGATGGTAGGGAGTTGAGTGATTTAGATATGAAGTATCCTGAATTCGCTCGTGAACCAAGAAAGGTTCGAGTGGGTTTAGCTACTGATGGTTTTAATCCTTTTGGAAGCATGAGCTTATCATATAGTATGTGACTGGTGGTTCTTATTGCTTACAATTTACTTCCTTGGTTATGCACTAAGGATCCGTACAAGATGTTGACACTATTGGTTCCCAGCCGAAATGCCCCTGGAAAAGATATTGATGTATTTTTGTGACCACTTGTTGATGAACTTAAAAAGCTCTGGGAAGTGGGAATCATTGTTCGTGACGCTGCTTCAAATGCATCGTTTAAGATGTGTGCTGCATTGCTAATGACTATCAATGATTATCATGCACGTGCTAGTTTGTCTGGCTGGAGTAGACAGGGGTATTTAGCATGTTCGTCATGCAAGGTATGCACATCTAACTAGGTTGATGTAATTCAAGCGAGAGAATTTCCAAGTTGATTTTCTGACAAGGTATGCACATCTAACTAGGTTGAATTTCATTCTGAATTTAAATAACAAGTCTAATTTCAGTTTTTTTTTTACAGATATACAATCTTCGACAACGTAATGTTCCAGAAGCCACCGATCAATTAGTTTCACTATCATCTGGTTCAAGCTTCTCTATTCGATCATATTCCGGTTGTGTAGTCAATGGAGTTAAGTTTTTAACATACAACCGAGACAAGGACCGGACCACTAAGAATAGTGGCATTTATGCCCGCGGGGCAAATAATCAGGTTTTCTACGGAGTTTTAGAAGAGATTTATGAATTACTACACATTAACAACAATTCAGTCTTCCTTTTTAAGTGTAAGTGGTTCGACACTCTGGCAGAAAGAAGAAGAATTCAACAATACAAGAATAGAATAAGTATCTTCGTTAAGGACTCGTGGTATGAGAATGAACCATTCATTTTAGCTTCCCAGGCGGAACATGTTTTTTACGTTGATGATTTATATAACGGTCCGAATTGGAAAGTTGTGGAACATTTTGGGCATCGACATATATGGGATTTTTCAGAAGAGGACGTCGACGAGGTCACGATAGTTCAAGATACAGAATCACAAAATGTTGAGTTAGTACTTGAACTACATGAACTGGATAACTTAACATTTGATCGACCTGATATCGAAGCAAATACTGTCACGTTTGACGTCAACGCATACTTGTGGGCTAAGTCACCTGCTGAAGATGAAGCTGACTTTATTGACGGGATGATGAAATTGTGTTTGACTACATTGAAGATGAACCCGTCGATTCTGATGATGATGACGACGTAGAAAGTGCTGATGATGTTGTAGACATTCGTAGTGACAACGAATATAACCAAAGTAGTTACCTTAAATTTATGAGTTTTTTATAAAATTTTTAAGAAATTGTGTACCAAATAAAGTAACAAATAATTTTTTTTACGACACAGCATCTCGATGTCTAGCCCAGTAGGTACATGCGCTGGCTCTGCAGGAGGATCACAGCCTCCACCTGATCTAACGAGATTCCCGACACATTATCAGTCAGGTATTATACTCTATAACACATACTCCTAAAACTTATTACTTATCAAACTCTCTATAATCAAATTTCGTTATTTTTATTTTCGTACAGTTCCAGAGCCGACATCTCGACGTTGGTCTGGTCGAGAAGTAGCTATAGGTCGAGATATATTGGAAAAAGTACACAAAGATGGGAAGCTTTTTGTCTTGTTTGACGAGACTGGTTCGTGGAAGGCGATTGGCGAAAACGAATACAAGAGAAATATGTGACCCACATTACAACACCTGGAAGGACGTGCCTGAGGAGCACAAAAGGAGGATTCAAAATCGCATGTTGGTATCTATTTGAAATAAAATTTGTTCCAAACATTTTTAATTGTGAATACAATAAATAAGATTCATTTGTTAATTTTTTAATGTATTCCAAGATTGGTTTAACCTCGACTACAACCGCGACAACGGCATCATTAAAGATGTAGTCGACCGTGAAGCCAGTAAATGTTACAAGGACTGGAAGACTACCTTGCACAGACACTTCCAGAAGATGGGAGGGGCAGAAAATGAGGATTTTGTCAGGTAAAATCCTCCTAAAAACTTGAGGAGCAAAGAGCAATGGGGACCTTGCTGTAATCGTTTTGCGTCTCCTACTTTTCAGGTTCAATTTCATTATATCTTATTACTTTTTATTAATTGGTTTATTTAATTATTAAGTATGTTACTATTTCATCTATGATCATCGCTAGAAAAAATCTGCTACAAATCAACAAAATCGTGGCAGTCAGAAGTGGTCTAGCTTCCATGGTAGAAAGTCATACTCCTAACATCGTTTCGATAAGGTA